CCAAACCATTTAGATTTCGGGCAGTTTTTTCCAAATTTAAAAATTTTAACAAATTCTTTTTTGCTACACGGTTCGTGGTAGGGATTTTCAGGGGCTGGGATCCGTGCGAATAATTGCATTTTTTATTGTTTATTGCTATTTATTGTTTATTGCATTATTGGAGGATAGCACGTTAAAACGTTGCGTGTAATCTTGCTCAAACGATTTCGATTTGTACTTAATGATTATTTGATTTTATAGGGCGTCTTTCCTATTTTTTATAGCAGTTTTTTCAAATGACTGCCCACTTATTTTTGTTTTTTATTGATTTGTTGATTCTTTAAGCATTTTTTTGCAGCTTTGAACTATTAATATTTTATTATCTAGGTACTTATTTTGCTAACATATCTTTTTTTTAGGTAAAACAGGTAACTTTAAAATGTTTCTATTTACTAATAACTAGATTTCAACCGTTCATGTTTCAGGATATTTATTGTTTCTTTCACTAATATTCTCCTTCGTAGGTACCTATGAATAATTCAACGTAAATTTTTAAATTATCTTTAGTTTTTAATCAAGCTGTTTGCTTCTACCTTGAACTATGCGTATGGTGTAAAATTTATTCCATATTTTGTTAAAATGATATTTTTCAGGTACACCAAGTCACTTTTTTAATGTTTCAGTTTTCGCTAAGTTCGGCATTACTTTTCCCCTGGTAGTCATCTACATGTAGAACTTTTAGTCCTATATTGTTGACTTGTGTTTCATTATATAATTGCTCGTCATATTTATTCCCCGAGGACATTTATTCTGGTTATGATTTTTTCATTTTAAAATTTTTGATCTATCACAATTGTTTTGTCGCATTAGGCAATTTTTGTTATTTTTTACTGGCGTTCTTCTGTGGTTTATACCCCAATTCAAACAGTTTCAAAAATCAATAATTCAGCTTGATTTTTCCAATTGAAAATCATTTACACTCAGTGATTCAACATTAACTAGCCAGGTTCTCTATTGTGGAAACTTTTTCTTTGAACCTCTAAAATGGAAATATAAAGCGAGTGTGTTCTGTTGTAAACTACAGTTTTTAATCTCGTGTAAGAAAGATTGCGCTGTTATACCAGTTTTTCTGTTAATTACACTCTAATTTAAACGGATTTTGTATTTTCAATAGGGATTGTTCGATGTATTAAACCCGAAATATTCTGCTCTCATTTATTCAACTTTAACTTGCCATGTTTTCTACTGTGGAAGCTTGAAAATTTAAATTGTAAATATAAAGCGATTGTGTTCTGCTGTGAACTACGGTTTTTAATCTCGTGTAAGAAAGATTGCGTTGTTATACATGTTTTATTCTGTTCATTCCACTCTAATTTAAGCGGATTTTGTATTTTCAATAGAGATTGTTCGATGTATCAAACCTGAAGTATTTTGTTCTCATTTATTCAACTTTAACTAGCCAGGTTTTCTACTGTGGAAACTTTTTATTTGAACCTTTACAATGTAAATATAAAGCGATTGTGTTCTGCTGTGAACTACACTTTTTAATCTCGTGTTAGAAAGTTTGCGATGTTATACATGTTTTCCTGTTAATTACACTCTTATTTAAACGGATTCTGTATTTTCAATAGGGATTGTTCGATGTATTAAACCCGAAATATTTTGCTCTCATTTATTCAACTTCAACTTGCCAGGTTTTCTACTGTGGAAGCTTTCTACTTGAAAATTTAAATTGTAAATATAAAGCGATTGAATTCTGCTGCGAACTACACTTTTTAATCGTGTAAAAAAGATTACGTTGTTATACATGTTTTTCTGTTAATTACACTCTAATTTAAACGGATTTTGGACTTTCAATAGGGATAGTTCGATGTATGTATTAAATCCAAAATATTTTGCTCTCATTTATTCAACTTTAACTAGTCAGAATAAAGATAAAGCGAGTGTGTTGTGCCTTGAACTACACTTCATTGTCCGGTTAGACAATTTGTGTCATTTGTTGGTGTCTTGGTGTTTTTCTTGCAAATGAGCTAGTTCGGATCTTTTAGGATTTTGAAGAAAAAAATGTTCATTTACTGTAAAATTTTCCTTAACGAATACTTTTTCTTAGTGGCATTTCTTCCAAAAATTCCCTTTTCGACAAATTTTTGAAGCTCGAAAGTTCACTGTTCTTCACTTTATAAAATAACTTGCTTATACAATCTATCTGCGACACAGTGCGTTATCAACAGGAAATCAACATTTTAATGCATGTGGCCACATGTATATTACAGTATTTAGTAGACATGTAGATGTAGTTATTTGGGTTATTTTTTATTAGCTTTGGGTTGAATAGTATTAGTTAGCTTTAGTTAGTTGGGTTTATTGCTGGTTTTCCGTTGATACATTTTCAATAGTTCCAATCATATTATTTGGGTTTAAAACTGTTTTCACCGAAGCAGGGGAGAATAGTGAACTTTCCAAC